ATTTTACGTAACCACTAAAAGTTGCTGAAAGGCAGGTTTTCACACACTTTTCACACTCCTTTTACAGATTATAGGGCAAAGTGCTCTTCTTTGGGTGTTTTGGTTTTCTTTCTCAGACAATTTATCCTTGTCTGTCCCAACCTGTCACAAATGTATCTGTCAATGACAGTACTGGATGGCATGACTACTGCACAGTTGTAGTGGAGACGAAGTCCCATCTTCACACAGAGGAGAACCTCCATTGTGTTGCATGGCATTACCACTGTGCTAAATGGGATAGGTTTTTGCACAAACCTAGCAACTCTAAGATAAGTATCCACGAGGTGCTATGGGTTGTTATCAGCAGTACAATTTTATCCAACCACATAACTGAACATATCCCCCATTCTTCTATTACCATCAAGCCAGATTAACTCTGGTTCAATGAAGAATGCAGTACAGAATGCCAGGATGCAACACCTAGGATGATCCATCAACCCAGTTAAGATTTTAAAAAATGGACAACTGTGTACCAATCATCAGAATTAGCATAACAAGAGCAATGTGATCCCACAACCAATGGATCAGGTCTAAGCTCTGCAGTCCTAAATCAATCAGTTGTGGATAGTGATGGGCAATTAAACCACTCATCAGAAGAGGAAGCTCCAGAAACACTCCTGTGTCAATGATGGTGAAGACCTGCATATTAGTGGAAAAGACAAGACTGAAGCATTCGCAAATACTTTCAGTTAGAAGTGCTGAGTGAATGACCCACCTTCACCTCCTTCTGACACTCAGCATCACAGGTATCAGTCTTCAGCCACCTTGATTCATGCCACGTTATCATCAAGGAATGCCCAAAGGCATAATTGCAAAAGCAATGGGTCCTGGCAACATTTTGGCAATAGTACTGAAGATTTTTCCAGAGCTAGCCATGCCCCCAGCCGAGCTGTTCTAGCACAGATCTAGTGCTGGATTCTACCAAATAATGTAGAAAATTGGCCAAGTGAGCCCTGTTCACAAAAATCAGGACAAATGCAACCTGGTCAACTACTGCTCCATCATTCTAATCATCAGTAAAATGGACAGTTATTGACATTGCTATACAGTGGACCATACTCAGCAAATCAAAAACTGCTTGCTAATACGAAGTTTGGATTCTACCAGTCGCACTCAGCACTGACCTCATTTCAGCTTTGTCTAAACATGGACGAGAGAGATGAATTCCAGAGGTGAGGCAAGAATGACTATCCTTGACATCAAGGCACCATTTGACCAAGTGTGGCATCAAAGAGCCCAAGGAAAACTAGGTCAGCTCCAATGAGGATGGATCTAAACTTCTCAAATAAAAGCAAAAACGGTACAGATGCTGGAATTCTGAAATAAAAACAAAGTGCTAGAAAAATTCAGCAAGCCTGGCAGCTTCTGGAGTTGTATTGGACTCAAAACATTAGATCAGTTTCTATCTCCACAGATGCTGCCAGACTTAGTTTCTTCAGCATTTTCTGATTTTATTTCATCTACCCTTTAACATATCACTAAATACTCCACTATCAATACCTTGGGGCTGCCATACGTTTTGCATTCAGCAAGATATTTCAAGTTTATTACATCACTTTGCCCTGTTATAAATGTTGAACAAAGATTCATAACAGTAGCCCACTTCAGTAAGTGGTAGTTGACAGATGGGTATGAAGTTATTTGTGTTACTGGACCTGTTTATTAGTGATTGCCTGGAATTTAAAAAAAAACACTTGATGCTCTTTCAATATTTGCCGAATCTTGCATTATAACCAAACAGTGTTGAAATCCTGCAAAGTATTTCAGATCCCAGAGGTACACTGGAGGACAATCTGATTGCTTCTCAATGTAAACAATTGTACTCAATCTGGAATACTGACTGAAAAATGTGCACCATAGAGTATCATGTGTCTATTAGTCAATATTTCATTTATGTTGGAACATCAGAACAGAATACATTGTGAAAACTCTTGCATCTTGGTCCCTCAAGGCATCAGTTCAGGATTGTTAGGCAGTTTTCTGTCTCAACAACTTATTTACAAAATACTATTAACATAACAATGTCTTGGTGTTCACAGGAGTGCAACAAAATAACATTTTACTCTGAGCCATATAAAGCAATGTTAGACAAGATAGCTACAAGTTTGACCAAAAAGGAATGTTTTAAGGAATGTCTTTAAAAGAAAAGGTGCATAAGTTCAGGGAGGCAATTCCATTGATTAGGTCTTGGCAGCTGAAGGCTTCGTCAATGTTAGGGCAGATAAAATTTAGAATGCTCAAGAAGCGACAATTAGATGGGTGTCTCAGGGCTGAAAGGCTGGTGGAGGTTACAGACGAGCAGCAAGGTCATTTGAAAAGATTTGAAAACAAATTAGGCACCAGGCTGATGAGTGAACAGGATTTGGTGCAAGAACACTCATGATTCCAGAGCACAGTATGTAGGAGACCTGATAGGAAGTGCACTAGAACAGACAAGGCTAGAGATCAGAACGTCAGAGGTGACCGGTAACGGACAAGCAGAGAGAGAACAGAGTTGGGCAATGCTATGGGACTGAAAATAGGCAAGCTTAATGACTACAGTTGTGGTTGGAAGCTCATCTCGTGATCAGATATGATGCTAGAGCGGTGAACAGTCCGTTTCATCACAGACAATTGCAAGGGAGATAAGAGAGATTGGTAGCTAGGTAACAGTTTTTAAACAGTTACTAAAAACAAGGTCTTCACTCCACCCAGCGTTTAGTTGGATAAAAACTTTCTGCCCATCCAGTACTGGATACCAAGCAATCTGATAAAATCAAAGAGTTAAATATGTACTTCAAAGATTGGTGTGGGTGGAATGGATTTCAGTTCATGGGGCACTGGCACTAGTACTGCGGTAGAAAGAAGCTGTTCTGGTGGACAGGCTTGATGTGAACAAGTGTCCTGGCAAATCAAAGGGCCAGGGTTATAAAGAGGGCTTTAAATTGATTAGAGATGGAGAGAATCTGGGAGAGGGCAAGCATAGGCTTACGAACCAAGATGAAATGGCAGCATTACAGGGCAGCTCTTTCGATAACATCCAGAGTTCAACAGGAAGGGACAGAGTATACAAACAGAAAAACAAACAAATTTAAATCTGGTCAAAAGGAGGGAAAATACCAACCTGCCATACTTTGTGTCTTTTCTCCTCAGAAAGATTATCTGTAAATTGAAACATTTCATGGATTTGGAAGCACAGGTATGAGATTACTACTACGAGGGAAGAAGTTTGCTTAAAAAGTTAAAATTATAGGTAGAAATGAAAGCACAGGCAACAATTAAAACCATCTTAGAGTCATAGTCATACAGCATGGAAGAGACCCTTCGGTCCAACTAGTCCATGCTGACCATGTTCCCAAATCAGAGTAGTCCCACTTGCCCGCATTTGACCTATATCCCTCCAAATCTTTCCTATTCATGTACTTAACCAAGTCTTTTAAATGTTGAAACTGTACCTGCATCCACCACTTCCTCTGGCAGTTCATTCCACATAGTTACCTCTTGCGTCCTTTTTAAATCATCCTCCTTCACATTAAAAATATACCACCTAGTTTTGAACTCCCCCACCCCAGGGAAAAGATCCTTGCTCTGCACCTTATCTATGCCCCTCATGAATTTACAAACTCTAAGATTACCCCTCGACCTCCTACACTCCAGTGAAAAAAGTCCCAGCCTATCTTTATAACTCAAACCTTCCATTCCCGGCAATATCCTGGCAAATTTTTTTCTGAACCCTCTTCAATGTAATAATATCCTTCCTATAGCAGGGTGACCAGGCTGCACACAGTACTCCAAAAAGAGGCTTCACCAACATCCTGTACAAACTCAACATAACATCCCAATTCCTATACTCAAAGGTCTCAGCAATGAAGGGAACTGTGTTAAATGACTTCTTAACCACACTGTCCACCTGTGACTCAAATTTCAAAGAATTATGTTGGTGCCAACACTATGCTTCTTCATCAGTTTTATTTATTGCCTTTTCACCCATACACAATTTTTCTTTTAGAAATAGCTTCTCACAAGATATCCAGTTAAATATTACAAACTCAACTTCTACTATTCCAGTTGCCTTCATATACCATGATATATGAAAGCCCAAGTCAAGACTGAAATGTTTTAAAAACAGCTTTATAGTGCTGTCCTTTTCCTTTATAAACTATTAGCTACACATTCTATGGTGATAGATTTTTAGTTACAAATGATATCAAGGGATATGGTTAGCACAGGATAAGATATTGAGGTATATTATCTAGGAGAGGGCTCAAAGGGCTGAATGGCCTACTCCTGTTCTTGCATACTTACACTTCAAAACCCAAACCCCACCAGATTGGGCAAACCCTCCCAATACCCTCCGACTTGACTCAATTCACTGAGATCCACTGTTCACCTTTGTGAGCCTGTCTATAGTCTCGGCAACACCAACTAATTAGCTATCAGCCAATCAGACTGGCCAGCAGATTGACAGCTCCAGAGGATCAATCTTCTTCCCCAATGATAGGCAGAAGTCCCACTTTCAATCTGTGATGGCAACTGCAGCACATTATTGCTACTGGGCAGACTTGAACATTTTTATCTGGGGGAGGGTGCCCTCAGCTTTTCTTCATCTTCCCCAACAGACCATAATTTTCAGGCCAAGATCTTACTTGCTACAAATGAAATAGTTACAAGTGAAAAGGGTATACTCTGGAACTCCAACTCTGTGGTCTTTGTTAGCCACATACTATATACTTAATAGATTTATGGAGAATGAAGGGAGCTGGAGCTGTTCTAAAAAAAGGTTAAAATTATCATCTACCATGCAAATTACAATTTCTCCCTTTGATTAAAGGTAAGAATGCCATTAAATACCTCGTCAACAACTTCATTTGGTCCCTGACAAGACTGTGAATGAGTACCTGGAAGGTTATAAATTTTACATTCATATCAATAGGTTTGTTAACAGAATTTCCTACAAGACACATGAATGAAGGCAATGGTAATTCATTAGTGGGCCACATAATTTATTCAGTAGTTTATGTTCCCCATCTTCCAAATTAAAACGTGTCTGTTAAACTGTAAAAACCGTAGCACTTAAATTAACTGAGCTTACAAAATACCATACATTTGTTGATATCAACCTCAAAAAATCTGCAAGACAGCAGTAAAGGAACTAGGGAATTGTAGGCACTTCATAGGCTTATGAAAAACCTGTACCTGTTGATTTTAAGAGGTCTGGTCCAAATCTTCATTTCCTACCCAATTAAAAAAGAAATTAATACAAAAAAAGATAAAATTAACGTACATCTGTGGCTGTATAAATCTACTTAAGTCACTAGTCTTTGGGTCTGCTCAGGATTATCATTATTTTATATCAGATCTTATATACAGGAGATCTGTGAATACATATGGGCACAACTTTACAGAATGTAGCCAAAAATAAACTTTGTCCTCCATTTTCAGGTTTTCAATCATTCAAGATGCTTAAAGAAATCAAGCACAGTGTAAAATAAACATTGTGACACTACCATTCTATACAAAGTACAGATCATGTTTACATAGCTCCCAAAGCTGAAATTACATTTACACGTATTATCTGAATTATTTGAAGACAAATTGCACCATGAAAACTATAGAAAAGCATTTTAACATATCCGAAAGATAAATTAATGAACAATTACTTGCAAGATCAATTTTATATGCATTATGACTAAATTATAGAACTCTGATAGAAAATTTAAGAAAACAGAACAAGTATGTCTCATACTTTAATTCTGTCTATAGCTGTAGTTAATACGTTTTCCTTCCTCAAATTTGGTAAACAACGGAAAGTAAGCCATGTTCACTGACACAATCTTAAGCATTAAGACTAGATCAAATGGCATGTTTGAGTTTAAAAAAAAATACAGGAAAATGTTTTAAATATAATAGGGTTTGTTATAAGAGAGCCTGGATGTTTTTTTCATTAAGAAAAGGTCTTCATTATCTCTATGCAAAAAGCTTTAATTAATATAGTTCAGTGATCTCAGAAATAGAGATACTTTGAAGGTTTATGCATAAAACTCCTTGGTTGGTGCCTTTTGATAGGCTGCAGTGGATGGTTTTCGTTCACCAAGGTCATAGCTGCCTTCATCCTTCTTCCTCATGCGGTACACCAACAATAAGATAAGGAAAATGGCAAACAAAAAGCCAATGACTCCTCCAGCAATAACAGCTGCAACACAGATATTGAATAGCAAGATAAACATCTGCAGAAATATTAAGACATAATTACATTATAACATATGATGTATTGAATATAGTTAGACATTTAAAAAACTGCTGTGGAGAACATACGATTGGAAGTAGCCTTTTTTAAATTACTTAATGGGATGTGGGTTTCACTGGCTGAACCAGCAATTTTGTCCATTCCTCATTGGAGAAGATGGTGGTGCGCTGACATTTTTGTCAGGGTTTCAATATTTGGTTTGTGAGTAAGCATAATCAAAGGTATATGCAAACCTCTTCAAAATTTTGCAAAAGACTTTCTGCTATGAGTTAACTCCAGATGAATTCTTGGGGTTCTATTCCTTTGGGCCATGAATATCATAAGTGCCATAAGTACCATAATATACTAGCGCACCAACATCATTACTGTCATTTGTGTCCTATCAGCCCTAGGAATGCCTAGGGTGCCCTGGGCTGTTACAGTATGATCTAGGAAATTGCAACAGGAGTCCAAATACTCTACTACCAACCCAAGCTGTGCAAAATATCTTTATCTCAGACAGAATGGAGTGAAATCGAAGCAGGCAGATATCCTGATCGTCAGACTAACAGTATTAATCCAAAAGAGGGCTAAAGACACACAGTCCATTTTCAATCAAAATCCTGACTACTGACTAATGTTTTAATGAGTGGAGATATGAATGAAGAAATGGAGTCCTGAATCTACTTTGAAACTCAGAGTGGAAAAGGCACCTGATAGCTTTTTGCTCCCAGAATGCCAAAGGAAAATAGCAGAGACTACTTTTGGATTATAAAATCTGGAACATAGGATGAGTAAGCACCCCATGGAACATCTCAGTTCTAAGACAGAAAGGAATAAGCTATTTTAACTATAGACCAAAAGGTTTAATATTGATTACGGGCAAGCTTCTACATTCTTTAGCACAAATTTTTTTTATTGCTCAGATGAAAATTCACAATCTATAAAATACATAGAATAAGTACCCACATCACTACTCTGTCAAACTGATTATTTTACAGGCTATTTTACGGATGCAAGCCAATGATGTTTCTAAAACCAAAATTTATTAGTCACAAATATCCGTCAACACAATTCGATATGTTTACGGTGTTCTACTTATTAGTTATGGAAGGTTAAAAACACAATTTAGTTAGGGAAGCTTAAGGGACGCACAAATTGCCATTTACCTGCAAGCACTTCTGTTCTCTGGAAAAGGCTTTCCGAGTGTTTTTCTGCAGACACGTCATTATCAGTATTGATTGTTGGCTTTTCAATAACAAAGTCATCTATTACCTTTGGCTCCTCTTTAACTGGGGTGTCTACAGTTGTCTGAACAAGAAAAAAAGCAATGAATGTAAGTTCGAGAACAGAAGTAAAAGATCCCTATACTTTTGGATGGACTACAAAATACACATGCTAAAGGTTCTTTTGCCACGTATAATCCAGTATGGTGTACTGTGGAGTGCAGTAATTTGGGAAGGAAAAGGAGTGGGGAAGTACGAAAATAAAGGAGCTCGAAACTTGTTGTAAATAGGTTTTACTACAGTACATAACTGCAGAGTAACAAAGGACAATTAACTGTTCTCACAAAAAGTTTACTGTAAAATACACTACATATCTGAAACCATTCCTTTGAAACTAACTGTATTTACTTGTGGAGATATTAGGAACTGCCGATGCTGGAGAATCTGAGATAACAAGGTATAGAGCTGGATGAACACAGCAGGCCAAGCAGCAGAGGAGCAGGAAAGCTGATGTTTCGGGTCGAGACCCTTCTTCAGAAATGGGGGAGTGGAAGGGGATTCTGAAATAAATAGGGAGAGAGGGGGAGGTGGATAGAAGATGGATAAAGGAGAAGATAGGTGGAGAGGAGACAGACAGGTCAAAGAGGCGGGATTGGAGCCAGTAGAGGTGAGTGTAGGTGGGGAGTTAGGGAGGGAATAGGTCATTCCAGGGAGGACAGACAGGTCAAGGAGGCGGGGTGAGGTTAGTGGGTAGGAGATGGGGGTGGGGCTTGAGGTGGGAGGAGGGGATAGGTGGGAGGAAGGACAGGTTAGGGAGGTGGGGACAAGCTGGGCTGGTTTTGGGATGCGGTCGGGGGAGGGGAGATTTTGAAGCTTGTGAAGTCCACATTGATACACTTGGGCTGCAGGGTTCTCAAGCGAAATATGAGATGCTGTTCCTGCAGCTTTCGGGTGGCATCATTGTGGCAATGCAGAAGGCCCAGGATGGACATGTCGTCTGAGAAATGAGAGGGGGAGTTGAAATGGTTCGCAACTGGGAGGTGTAGTTGTTTGTTGCGAACCGAGCATAGGTGTTCCGCAAAGTGGTCCCTAAGCCTCTGCTTGGTTGCCCCGATGTAGAGGAGGCCACAACGGGAACAGCGGATACACTATACCACATTAGCAGATGTGCAGGTGAACATCTGTTTGATGTGGAAGGTCTTGTTAGGGCCTGGGATGGGGGTAAGGGGGGAGGTGTAGGGGCAGGTGTAGCACTTGCTGCGGTTGCAGGGAAAAGTGCCAAGGGTGGTAGGGCTGGAGGAGAGTGTGGAGCGGACAAGGGAGTCACGGAGAGAGTGGTCCCTCCGGAAAGCGGATAAGGGTGGGGAGGGAAAAATGTCTTTGGTGGTGGGGTCAGATTGCAGATGGCGGAAGTGTCGGAGGATGATGCGTTGGATTCGGAGGTTGGTGGGGTGGTACGTGAGAACGAGGGGTTTCTGTTTTGGTTGTTATTGCGGGTAGGGTTGTGAGAAATGCGAGAGACACGGTTGAGGGCATTTTCGACCACTGTGGAGGGGAAGTTGCGGTCCTTGAAAAACGAGGACATCTGTATTTACTTGCCTCTGTTTGGAAAGGCTTCTTGCCTAATTTTTCCCGTGTAGTTGGTTCTACTCCCACAGTTGCTGATCTTGGTGTACCACCAGTTGGTTTGATGTCTGGGTTCATACGTTCACGATTATAGGTGACCAGTTGTACCTCAGTTTCAAAATGCCCTATGTAAGGGAAAAACTGTATCAACGCATGTTCAAAAAAATGCTCCTTGTGCTATATCATAACTTAAGAACGTAATAAACTGGAGCATGCTATTCAGCTCCTCCAACCTGCTCTGCCATTCAATGAGATCACGATTGAAGTTCTACTTCAAAACCATTTTCCTGTACTATTCCTGTATCCCTTGATGTTTCTAAATATGTAAAAACCAACTAATCTCAGTCTGTGAATAAAAGTCAAGAACAGAACTTTTACAGCCAGCTTTGTCAGGGAATTCCAATGATTCACCAGTTGAGTGAAGAAACAGGTGTTGTGTGTATTTACCTCTTACACCAGTATGAAACTTGTTTCTTAAGAAATTAAATTGACTTATGGCAAATTCCTAATGTTCCTAATTTTTGATTCCTAATGGAATGATGATTATATCTGAACACAGCTGGTGTTTACAGTGGCAAAAGGAATTAGGAGCTATTAAAGTGGCATGAAAACAGACAAGGAACAATTTTTGGAACAGTGAGATGGCTGAAGTAAATATATAGAGCACCAAGGTGAATGCAGATAAACAGCTTCCTGATGTGAAAGTGAACTACAAGTGGAGACTATTGTTTTCACGTACCTAGGTTTAAATGGAGTAGATGCTTTCCAATGAATTGTATCATTTCAGGATTTGTACTACGAATAAATATTTTTGTTTAAGTAATTAAGATATTTTTAAAATTACCTTCTACATACTCAGCTATGCTGTTTTCTTTGTTTAGTTGCATATAAGTAAACTTATGAATTAAATGGTAGGTATTTTTAATATATAACTACAAAATATAGTGTTCCTACGCTGATATGAATGATAAACGTAGCAGATTCATCAGCCAGAATCAGAAATAGCTGATCATCTGAATATCTAATTTAGATAGAATCAGGACAAGTTCGTTCCCTTCAGTTATCCATTGCTGTAACAACTGTTGGTTCATATATGCTACACCAAATGATACAACTAATTCCATACTGTGTATTTCCCGAACCAAAATTGAACTTAATTTTTCACCCCAGCCAATAAAGCCAGTGTAAAAGACAACTACATTTATCTGATGTTTTGGCACATCAAGCTATGGATTTATGAACAGGATATTAAGATCAGACCTCCAAAACATTTCAAGTAGCCTTTTGGACACAGTTTGAGGCGTGTTTGTGTCTGTCTGTCTCTGTCTGGGCGTGTGTCTGTGGGTGTAATTGTGGGTGTGCCTGTGGTTGAAGATAAAAGTCCCACACGTGTCGTTAAGGAACAGCTAGCTGGGGAAAAAAGTCATATGGACAACAGACATCAATTAAAAAAAAAACGGAACCAAATAACTGCGGATGCTGGAAATCTGAAACAAAAACAGAATTTTTTGCTGGAAAAGCCCAGCAGGTCTGGCAGCATCTGTGAAGAGAAACTTAACATTTCGGGTCTAGAGACCCCTCTTCAGAACATATACAAATAATTAATTTCCTAATATTCAGCAATAGCACATGAAATGCTCAGATCAAATCAACTTGTGCTTTTAGTCTTTGCATGCCATCTCAAAGCATATATTAATTGGGAACATTTAGCGTACAGTGTAAAATTAAGTGATTGTACACTTGAGGTGATTCATTTTGGAAGGTCAAATTTGAATGCAGAACACAGGGTTAACAGCAGGATTCTTGGCAGTGTGGAGGAACAGAGGGATCTTGGGTCCACATCCATAGATCCCTCAAAGTTGCTACGGTTGTAAAGAAGGCGTATGGTGTGTTGGCTTTCATTGGCAGGGGAACTGAATTTAAGAGCCGTGAGGTTGTGCTGCAGCTCTAAAAAATATTGCGTTCAGTTCTGGTCACCTCATTATAGGAAAGATGTGGAAGCTTTAGAGAGGGTGCAGAGGAGATTTACCAGGATGCTGCCTGGAAAGGTTGAGGGAGCTAGGGCTTTTTTCATTGGAGCGAAGAAGGATGAGAGGTGACTTGGAGGTGTACAAGATGACGAGAGGCATAGATAGAGTTGATAATCAGAGACTCTTTCCCAGGGCGGAAATGATTATTGTGAGGGGGCATAATTTTAAGGTGATTGGAGGAAGGTAGAAGGGAGATGTCAGAGGTAGGTTCTTCACACAGAGTGGTGGGGCATATGGAATGCGCTGCCGGCAGTGCTGGTGGAGTCAGATACTTTAGAGACTTTTAAGCGACTCTTGGATAGGCACATGGAGGATAGTAAAATGTAGGGTATGCAGGGTAGATTGAACTTAGTAAGATAATAAGTCGGCACAACATCGTAGGCCGAAGGGCCTGTACTGCGTTGTACAGTTCTATGTTCATCTATGTTCGATGTTCTAATTAAAGGTCAGTATTCAAATCTCTTCAAGGTAAGCATCTCACCTCATTTCTATAATTAACATATTATTTAATGAGAAAAACCTGTTCATTCAAGAAAGATTTACATTTAGAAATCAGAATTCGTCAATTTTACATACAGCACTGGGGACCATTTGACTCATTGCATTCACTCTGACCCGAACTCTCTCACTCTCCCATTCTTGCCTCTCAGCCTTGCAGATTTACCCAAAGTTACCGCCAGACCTTTTTCTTTTTTTTCCCCCCTTTATTCGTTCATGGGATGAGGGTGTCGCTAGCTAAACAGCATTTATTGCCCATCCCTAGTTGCCCACAGGGCAGTTAAGAGTCAACCACATTGCTGTGGGTCTGGAGTCCCATGTAGGCCCAGACCAGGTAAGGATGGCAGTTTCCTTTCCTAAAGGACATTAGCGAACCAGATGGGTTTTTCCAACAATCAACAATGGATTCATGGTCATCATTAGACTCTTTGTTCCAGATATTTATTGGACTCAAATTCCACCATCTGCCGTGGCGGGATTCAAACCCAGGTCTCTAGAACATTATCTGGAGATCTGGATTAACAGCCCAGCGATGATACCACTAGGCCATCGCCTCCCCCATTTCTGCTATCTTTCCAGCAAGCCCATTTCAGATCTTTAGATACAAAAAAAATTTCCTTACTTCCCTTCGTTTGACCCCCAAATTATTTTAAATCTGTAATAAAAACAGCAAGTGCTGGAGAAATTCAACTAGTCTGACAACACCTATGGAGACAGAAACAGAATTAATGCTTCAAGTCTGATATGACTCTTCTTCTTTGACTGAAAGCTGGAAAATGGTGGTTTCTATACCATTGACAGAGTGGAACAAGTGGTGAGGCTGCCCAGAGCAAAAGACAAAGGCAGTGCTAATGTCATTGTGATGTAAAATGGATGAAAATGAAGGTGAAAGAAAGGAGAAAATGGGTCCACTCTCCAACAAGCAAGATATTGCTAGATGAGTGATGTAGAGAAAATAGATGACAAAAATTGTGCTTCAAAGTTGCAGAACCTAAATATGGACTCCTAAATTCTATAAAGTGCCGAAGCAGTGTTGTTACTTCAACTTGTGTTGAGCTTATGTTATGTGTTTTTCTAGTTACTTACTTGTCTGCTAACGGAAGTAGTTCTTCCCACGTACTCTAAAACCTACCCACATTTGAACATCTTTATGAAATCTTCCCCAACTTTAACACAAAGTATTCTAGAAACTGAAATTAGCAAAGGGTTTGGAAATCCAAACTAGTGTAAACCTCAAGCTTAGGAGCAGACCCTTGATTTCTAAACCAAAATTGAATTAATATGCCCACTCAATTTGTTGTCCAGTCTGCCCATTTCTGGAATCCAGCACTCGTGGGATAAAAAGGCAATTAATTCACTGTGCAAAGTCAGTAAAAACTGATGAAATTGGAGTAAATGGGAGGAAACAACAATTGTTCTCAGGAAAACAGATTGTAGAACCATTTAAAAAAATTGGCTTTTTAAGTGCCCACTACGTGAAGAAGTGGGAGACATGGAACAAGCTGTTTTTTTGGTAATCTTAAATAGACTGAGGCGATTAATTAAACTGCATACGCAGAAGTATAGTATTCAAACCTACTTCAGCAGGTGGTCCAGAGATAGTAGGAACTGACGATGCTGGAGAATTTGAGATAACAAGGTGCAGAGCTGGATGAACACAGCAGGCCAAGCAGCATCAGAGGAGCAGGAAAGCTGACGTTTCGGGTCTGGACCCTTCTTCAGAAAAAGTTTTCCTGCCCCTCTGATGCTGCTTGGCCTGCTGCGTTCATCCAGCTCTACACCTTGTTATCTCAGCAGGTGGTCAGTGCAGAGAAGAAGGGCAGCAATTCTACTACACTTTGAAATTTCAAAGTGAGGTTTATAGTTAGAAATTTTCCTTACTACAAGAATAATCAACCACAAATACATTACATGCTCATCTTCAAAATATTCAGTGTGATGTTATAACTTAGTCATTAGTTTACAGGATTTAATAAACCTATAACCTACTCTTATCTTCAGAGATAAGAGCTTCAGAGGGGAGGCGATGGCCTAATGGTATTATCGCTGGACTGTTAATTCAGAGACCAAGGTAATCGTTTGGGGACCAGTGTTCAAATCCCACCATGGCATATGGTGGAATTTGAATTCAATAAAAATCTGGAATTAAACATCTGTTCATGAAACAGTTGCTGATGGTCAGGAAAAACCCAGCTGGTTCACTAATGTCCTTTACAGGAGGAAACTGCCATCCTTACCTGGTCTGGCCTACATGTGACTCCAGACCCACAGCAATGTGGTTGACACTGAAATGCCCTCTGGGATGGGTAATAAATGCTGACCTAGCCAGCAACACCCTCATCCCATGAATGAATAAAAAAAGTTGCACAATAAACTGTAAACAGTCTGAAAACACTAAGACTTAATGGAGAACAAACATAAATCAGCACAGTTGCAAAGATTCAAAAGAAAAGATGGTCCTTGTCATTTCTTGGTTTGAAAGCATTAGCTTTGGCAAGTCAAACATTTCCTAAATCAGACCATCTACATTATCATATGAATTCAGAAAGTCAAACAACTGGTTCAACTAATAAAACCAATAGTTTCAGCACTGTCAAACTCTACCTCTGTCACAATTGCCCTGAAGAGGTCAGAGTTAGCCCAAAATTGCTTGCCGGCATTTCATTAACTTATCTAAATTAGTGAAGTTGGCATCCTGGTTTAAATTTAAATGGTGGTTGGCTGAGTTTCACCAGGTCCTTCAAACAGATCTTCTTTTACCCTACCGCTGATTGTGACCTTTGCCATAACCAACATCGCCCAGTTAACAAGCCACCCTAATGTGCAGTCACTGTGATCACAGCCAACAAATCCCTGGTCTGTAACTAGATCCCTCCAGATTGAATCAGAGATAGTAGGAACTGCAGATGCTGGAGAATCCGAGACAACAAGGTGCAGGGCTGGATGAACACAGCA